TATGACGTGGTATCGGTGGTCCAACGGTCAGTGATGGTCACACAGATGTGGTGTAGGACAGCGTCCCTCTTTCTGTTCCGCTTCCGCCCGCATTCGCCTCCGGTGCGCATCTGAGCATCGTTGGCCCTCTGCCTTTGCCGTCGCTGTCGCCGCCTCCGCCGCCGCCACCGCCACCGCCGCTGTGTGTGCATAAGTACGCACGGTCGGTCGCGGCCGAATTCTTCGCACATGCGCGCTCCTGCAACTTTCCGTGATAAAGCGCCGGCTTTTTTCACCAATGTAACAAACGAAGAAAAAAATTCACCTGACACAATAATGAATCTAACACATCATAAAGTAGGTTCTAAAGTTCGTCTGCATATTAAACGCTGTTTTCCTTGACATGGAAAAAATTTGTCGGCGCTGCGTACTGTTGGTCATTCGTCGTCGTCGCCGTCTTCGCCGTAGCCGTCGTCGTCGCCGTCTTCGGTGTTACGTACCGCATCACATGCCTCGCGTCGTGGTTCGCGCAGGTAGTCCGAGCTTCGGTCTGCATTCTTGCCGCGTCGCGTTGCGTCGCGCTCTTCGACCAGTGTCCATTTTGGAAGTGGTGATGAACCACGGCATTGTCTTGAATGGTCGTTGCCGTCGTCTGACTTCGTAAGCCGCATGCCTATCGACGGCACACGGCTACATTTCGTATTAGCGAAGATCGCGACTATACCGTCTGCCTCGATTGAAACGTTGTATTGTGGCGAAGTCGACATGTGCCTCGCATTTATGGCCAGTCGCAGCGAACCTTTGCGCTCGAGTTTTTGGTCCTCATCCTCACCGTCGCCGTTCAGATGAAAATTTTCATTTGCATATGAACGGATGTTTACAGCTTCGAAGAAATACGAAACGAGATGGGGCTGAGATCCATATCGGTGGAGATCGCTGGCCTTGTCCCACAGTGCGATGTGCTGTGTACCGACCCTTTCGCCGTCTGTAGACAGGCTGTGCGTTAACCCTGGTAAACCTGTAAATTCTGTTTCCCCCATCCACGGACTAACCGCACGAGTCGTCTGGCTTCATAGCACCGCTTCTATTCCACTATTCTTCTAATGTAGTAATGAGCCAGTAGTCAAAATCGGACAGCAGTGCAGGCGACGAGACTTTAAGAAGCATGGATAGGCTCCGGTAATAATACGAGGTTTCTGTCCGTTCGCCAGTTACAGGCAGCATGTACTGCTCCATTTTTGTGAGTGTACTGAATCACTATCTCTGCCCCTCACCCTCTGTCAAGAAGACAGAATGCGTACTGACGTTCGACGCACAATAGCAACTAAATTGAAGTGTAGCACTGTTAGATATCACGACCTTCGCAAATAATGGCTGCTTGAAAACGATCCGAATCGTTTTCGTATCAGCAGTGGAGAGGTTCGTCCGGAAAGTCGAGGACGTAGCTATATTTCATACCTGGTTTACTGAGTCCATTTTTCGCCATATGTACCAAGTTAAGCTGATATGTAAATAAGTTTCGCTTAAGAATATGAACAGCTATCGTCGAAAATTCTTACCGATCCAGTCCACCGAATGGAAATGTTTTCTAGAAAGATCTTTTCCATTTAGTGCCCATATGCATTGAGTTACAAAACCTGTTATAATAAAAGTTTAAAAAAATTTTAATTTTTACAGCGTTGCTTCTAGGGTGTTCGTCTTAAGAGGAGTTCCTGCATGAGAGTAGGCGCTTTTTTATTTAAGAAGGATACCGTGAATGAATAACTACAGATGAGTGTACTTTACAGATGAATGAGACGCCTGAAACTCTTTCGGTGAATGTTTTCATTTTGTTGTCGGAACTTTGCAACCCATCGTTCTTTGGTACGGACATTTGACCATAACCGTGGCGCAAAACTCTTGCGTTGTAAAAAGTCTTCGAGTCGCAAAATATGTTTCCATAAAGACTTCTTATTCCTTTAACGACTGATATCGGATTTACACAGTAAAAGCCGTAAAGTTACCTATTTTACAACGATAGTGCGGCAGTGTGAAACGGATGTTAGTCATTACACATCATCTGTCTTACACTGATATTTACTGGCAGAATCGAAAAGCTGCCATTCTTGGAGCTGCCCTAGAACATGGGTCTTTTGTTGTTTTATTTTCTAAAGACTTTTTAAGTTGCATATTATGTGCTTTTGTTATAGGTATTCTTCTATATCGTTTCTGTGAGAAACGATCACGCGTGCAATTAATTTAGCCATCCACGAGTCGCGTTGCACTCATCATCGACAGCGCTATGACACCACCAGGCGATTTTATTGACGGGATTACCAAATAACGAACCTCCGATTTTGAACGCTGACCAGTATTCTTTCATCCTCCGTCTATAACTTACTGTGTACCAACATTCGGTTCTTATGGTAGCGGATCAGCGGTTGAGAAACGTCTAAAAATTTATATGCTTCCTCATTTCTTGTGTATGTCTTGGAGAACGGACAACGATCAAAATAAGGGGTTACATACGGGGGAAGTAACATAAGAATGCACTGTGCGAAGCTGCTACGAAAACCGTGAATTGCCGCTTTTAGGAACTTTGAAACTATTGGTTAACAAGACGTGGTACTAAACTAAGGGAAAAATTTGGTACCGGCGATTTGCGGAGATGAAGGTACGTGTTGGGTATATATGCCGTCTAAAAAATTTGATTTTTCCGTTTAATCTAGTAATTTAATTCACTTGAAGACAAACGTTGAAAAAGGACCCAAACGTCATGTTTGTGTCTTAAAATGGACTTTATTTTGAGTAACTAACAGATCGATGGATAGGCAGCAACGGCTTAAAGTTGGGTTCACGTGACCGTGCGAATTGCGGTGAACTATACGCTTCTTCAGTCGTATGGCTGTTAATACACGCACAACCAAGCTGCTATTTTAGCTGTGAAAGCCCATTATGAAGCTAAAAACGATTGAGTTGAGACGGTAGGTGCCTTGGTTGAAATAGTCCTTAAGGCAGCTCTAACTAAGACTGACTGGAACTCTGACTACCGACTTTCACGGAATTATTGAGAGCCATCGTTCCTAGTGATTTTCGAATAAGGCGTGATAAAACTGTTCTGTCTGTACTGTTAACTTTCTGAACGGATAATGAAAGCCATTTGACATGATTACCGGACGACCCAGATGAATTGTTGATGCAGTGTGTTGGCTAGGAGGTTAAAAAGGAAAATATCGTCAGCGATTTTCCTGCAAAGTAACTTTAAAACCTGTTAACTGATGTCGTCGTACCTCTGAACTAATAGTAATAACTGTTGCTTTACACTTCAAGCGACCAAAATCTAAATATGTTTTTAATGATTTTTTTTGCTTTTAACTCGAGCGCCACATTTCTGCTCTCATGTACGAGTCGAAAACCTGACGTGTTTCTTTTTCTACACTTGTTTCCCATTCTGCGAAGCCTTTCTGTCTTCTGTTGCAAATAATTTTTTTTTTCTGAAAAGAAACGCCCGTAAAACGAAAATCACTGATAGAGGAAAAAACGAACCTTCTGCGCCGCGCCAAACTATGCGTCATTTCAAACCTGTGAACGGAGGATGGCTTTTATTGCTTGCTCTTACTGAAATGTCCTCGCGTTCTATGTATTCGAACCTCGCTTCCTTGTCCCGCAGATCGAGCAATGATCAAAGTATGAGTGCAAAATACTCCTGCACTGCAAGTGTAGTTGCGTAGTCTGTCACTTCAGTAACCTCGAATGGGGTGCCTGATAAGGTTCTGGTATCTGAATTGGCATTGTTCTTTCATTGATTACTTTTGAAAATTCTTCTCTCCATCGGCATTTCGACTCCAAGCTCTGAACAAAGGATTTGATCGCTCTGATCGAATCACTATCCCACGATGGTCTGTCCACTTTCGGAATGAAAGACGATTCAAAGGCAGGTCAGACAAAAAGCCAGCACGATGCTTCGTAAATTTTACCAGATAATGAAAGGAAGAAAATTTTTCCATCACTATTAATCAAGACGTGAGAAATCCGGAATTCCGACGCCTTCCGAATTTGCACAATCATGCTGTCATCGCGCTCTGAACAGGAAGTGACATATGCTGTTGTCAACCCTTGAAGAAAGATGTCTTTATTGTTTTATTTCTAGATAAATTGTCCTCGTCCTTTATTAACGAGGTACAACCTACCGCAGGATAAGACGACTACAGTCTATGTCCTCTGAGGGCAAGTTGTTAGCCCGCAAGTCGAAAGAAATTGAACGGTCAATCTTCCTGTTCATTTTGGTGACCGTTCCGATGTCTCTACGATTGCAGCTGCAAGTAATCTCGTCTCCATTGCTTACTAGAGTTCTCGTTACGGGTATGTGCCTCCCCTCACGGTCGACAGCTTCTTGACTTTTGCCACGTTTTCGAACGGCCCTTTTGCGTGAATTGGGCCTACCGACCGTCGGACTCGCTGAAACAATCGGTTTCTACGGACGACCATAAAATCACAGCTGCCGGCCGTTGATGATAGCCCGTTCGGCCCGACGACAAAAACCTCTGTAAAATACATATGATTTATTTTTGTTTTTTACGTCGACGGTAAAGTAACACTTAGGAAGGATTCATTTTTTGTCGGCACGGCTGGTCGTCCGTCTTACAGTCGCTATTCGGTAGGTCGGTCAGTGTCGCGATTCGTCCGTCGACCGTTGGTCAATTTCATTCGATCACTCGGGCCTGACCGAGTTTCACCCAGTCAGGTGAAGTGTGGACCTCACCGCACGCATTTTTTTTTCGTCCGTCATTCTTGCTGTCGGCAACCGCGCAAAAACACATGAATTATGATAAATTATAAGCCAACGGCCCTATAATGGCGTTGTTTTAGTGGGCCAAAAAACTGTGCCGGACAATAGCTCAAAGTGCTGTGGCGCGAACCATCGACTCGACTACGTTCTCACGGCGTTCTCATAGCACGCCTGCGTTCTGCAACTGAGCCGGTCAGCGGTGCAGTGGGTGCTCGCCGACGCACGAGGCACGAGCGTGAGCGCCTCTTCAGAAACCCCGCCCTAGCTGCAAACAGTAGCCAATGGAAAGCGGGAACCGCGCTGCACGCGTATTCGTGGGTCCGGTGGCGTCGTCGAATGCTGTATAGCGGCGCGCGCGCAGCACGCACACGCGGCGGCTGACTATGCTAGCGCGGCGCGGCGCGGCGCAGCGCGTCGCGTCGCGCTTATGATCAACGACTTTTCTGTTGTTTGTTTAACGTGTTGCGTATCTTCGCTAATTCGATATTCAGCAATGAGTCTGCAGTCGGTGACCTCGCAGCTTATGTGTTTTAGTGGCTGGAACGTCCTCGTGTGTAGTCGCTACCAGCTCGCTTGCCGCTGTCTTACGCCGCCGGTCGCTTGTCGCGCTTGTCCTAGCCGCCGCCCCTTTCCGGTGCCCAAGCGCAGCGATCCCGCCGCTGCCATCGTCGCGTCGTCGTCTAGCCGTCGTCCAAATGGCGCAGCAGCCGTTGTCTGCCCGCCGCCGGAGGAAACAAAGTCGTCCTTGTCGTCTGGTCACCGATCCGTTCGTCCTCGCCACGCTACTCGAAAATGGTAAGTCAACGAGTGACTGACTAAGGGTAGGCGAAGGCGCTTCTGCAGGTGCTTCTAACGTGAACTTAGTAATAAATCCTCATCTGCGTCACCTGTCGCATCTGTGCTTTCCCAAGGCATTCGGTTTCTCCTGGTACACCGCTCTTAGTGAAAGTGGGTTCATCTGTCGTTCTGTTGCTGTCGATCAAGTCGTTCTCTGGGCGATTTCTCATTTTGTCCTTCGGCGACGGCTTGAACTCGGCTTTAGGGTCGGCGCTTCGACTGGAGCTCGCGTCATCACTCACTTTTCGCCGCATTGAGCCTTCCATTCAGTGCTCAGAGTCCCTGATGAACTGAGCGTTTTCACTCGAGTGTCTTGTAATGCGCGACATTTTTGGTAACGGGTCTCGTGACGCTTTCCTATTTAGCTAGCTCTCTGAGGCCGCGACTTATCTGTTTTTCTACCACAGTTCATGTCGACATCCCTACCCTGTCGCAATCCTATGCTACCTGTTCTATCCATTCAAGTTGTCACGTTCCACCGACTTACAGTCACGACCTATGTATCGGGTATTGTAATCGCATGACGTCATTAACTAAGGTGTCGCATGTATAAAGATGCCATTACAGGTGTAGGTATAGGGATGATTTAGTTGCGTTCGGTGGTTAGCTGGCTGCCGGCTGGCTGCACTAGTTATGGCGGCTCGCGCAGACCGTTGAGTTGAGTGTCTGCTGTCCTCGTCTGTCGAGGCCGGGACGGCGGTGACTGGTTTCTCTGTCGGCTAAGGCGACGGGGGACAGTCGACGCCCGGCCGTTGCTTATGAAAATGTTACTGGTGGGGCAACTGCAGTTTTCGTTTTTTGCCCATTTTTTGTGCTTCTGTCAAGGTCTAACGCGAAAAATTGCGTCTCGCGACCTTCAGCCAATTACGGACGTACGTCGCAGTCGCAGCATTTTTTCCTGTTCCCCCGCTCACTTTTCGCTTTTTTCGATTAATGAAAGGGCCCGCGTCGACGCCTCTGTTCGTCGGTCGCGGCATGTATTGAAGAACGACGCGCCAGGCGCTCCGAACGGCAGTGGTTCCCTTTTCTGACCGCGACCATCGGGACGATGTGACGCGCTCGATCAAAACAGCTAGAAGCGAATGCGTATGCCCTCGCCCTCACCCACAGCCACATCCACGTCTGCAGCCGCAGCAACTTCCCACAAGCGCACCTTATTGAACCTCTCATCTCACACCAGTCGTACATTCGCTGTCATTCACTGCGCTGCGCTTTTCATTTCCATTTTTCCTGTGCTTAGTTAACGCGCGAATTTACGGTTTCCCGTGTCGTTCGTTGTCACAACCGGAGGTATGCCCAACAGTGCACCTGCAGTTGCGTAAACAGGTGACTCCGTGACGTGATCACATACCGTGAGCGCGAAAAGCTACCAACTTGTGGTATGATGAACAGCATCATATCAAGCAGAACTTAAGCCGT